CCTATTTCAATAAGTAGGGAGCGCTAGGGTCCCAGCCTCAGTGGGGGGCCCTGCGGGGGGCACGGTTTGCTGGCGAAGGGAGTTTTCTGGGCATTCTGCGCCCCCCCCCCCCACCACACACACACACACTGATTGATTTGCCCCATTAATCACAGCCAGCAGCTGGGGGTGGGGTGGGACCAGAGCAGGCACTGGGCCAGAGCCATGGGGGCCCCGGGAGGGGGGCAGAGGTCAGGACAGGCTTTCTCTGTCATCTCTCTTTCCCTCCAGACCCACCCAGCTGAGGAGAGCCTGGGGAAGGGACACAGTGCTTGGTGCCTCTTCCAGCTCCCCGGGCCCCCAGGATTCCCTCCAAAGCACACCCAGGCCTCCCCCCATTTGGAGAGCCGGGGTGTCCCGAGGCCCGAGCTGGCATCCCGGGTCCTGTCCAGCCTTGACTGCTAACAGGACCCTCCTTTTCGGTGTTCTCAGCAAAAAAAAAAACAGCAATAACAGTGCCTCCTCCAGGCAGGTGTCCGGGGCCAAGGGAGGCACGATGGGGGCTTCAGCTCAGCTCTGTGGACTCTGAACCGGATTGCCTCTGGGTACCTGTGGGCCTTGGGCCCGGCCTAGAGGTCGGGGCGAGACCCTGTGGAGGGGCACATCTGGAAGCACCAAACCCCTCGCCTCTTGGACTCTGGATTCCGGGAGGCCTTGGGGGCGGCCCACCCCCGGCCCACCGCCCTGTGGTGCAGCCCCTGCCCAGAGCCGCCCCCAGCCTCCACTGCTGGGGAAAGGGTCAGGAGCCCTGCGGGGCCCCCTTCCCCCTTCTCCCCACCAGCAGTCGGGCTCTGCCCCCTCCCCAGTCTCTCAGGCCCCCGACCTGACCGGCACCCCACCAGCCCTACTGCTGCGGTCGGGTCCCTTCTGTCATCCCCCCGGATGCTGACTCCAGCCTCCTCCTGCTGCCCCTCCCCCCAGGACCCCATAGGGGTTCCCCGCCCCGCCTCCCGCCACAGCCAGGCCTCCCTTCCACCCCAGGTCATGTCCGTCCTCCCCTCCCTGCCCAGCAGAGTCCTCAACCCCTGGAGGAGCACCAGAGACTGGACCTCTTCCTTCCACGAAGGGTCCCCTCGTGGTCCTGTGGCCTCCGTTCTCCGGACGCTCCATGCTCCCAGTCTGTAGCCCCCTCCCCAGGGTCCCGCCCCAGGCACCTGGACGGAACTAGACCAGGAACACGGGAGACGGAGGGGACAGCATCCCAGCCTTGCGAGCGCCTCCCGGCCGCACGACGGCCCCACCGGAAGCCACGCACCTGCGCGGTCACCCTCCCTCCCGACGTCTTGAGGCTCCTGGCTTTATGGTAAGGGCTGATGTCACTGAGCCCGGACGTCCCCTCCACCCCGTGCTGTCGCAGCGGGGGCTAGAGGCAGGTCCTCAGGTCCAGTTCGGCCAGGGGCTCACGCCGGGCGAGCCTGGCCTTGCACTCAGCTACGCTGCCGCCTCTCCGTGCGGAGGGAAGGGGAGCGCCCGGCCCCAGGGGCCGCCCGCCCTCCCTTCCGGGTGGCGGGGGGCACCTTGCTGCCGTTTCGGGGATCCCTTTCATGGAGGAGGGGTCAGGTGCTGGCTGCCTCTCCACGAGGCTCCCCCCGCCCCCAGCGCTGGGACGGGGGGCAGGACCAGTACTGGCTTCGGGTGCTGGAGACCTGCAGACACACAGGTGCGGAGGGGGGGCCCCGTGCGGTTCGGTGCTCTCCGCTGGCTGGTTGGAAGGTCCCCGTGCTTTCACCCCTGAACGTGTGTTTGCTGGTGAAGGTCAGTGGGACAGAGGAACACACGAAGCTTGCCCTATGGGGGTCCACCCCACCCCCAGGCCCAGGAACACGGAGGCCCGGGGACCCACGGCACGCTTTTTCCCCCGGGGGCCCAGCGTGTCCACCACTGGCCAGCCTTACTGACTCACCCATGCTGCTTGTGGGTTAGACCCTAGGATGTAGGGTCCGTGAGGTTTCCCTTGGGCATGTCGGTGCATCCTAAGCTCCTGGCACAGAGAAGGTGCCCAATAAAGGTTTCGGAATAAATGGGGAGGGGGGGATCCAGGTGGGCCAAATAAGGCAAGCCTGGATGCATGGACCTCCGTGCTCGACCCCTGGTGCCATCGGGACAGTCCCATGTCAGCAAGGCCTCCCATGTGATCAGCCTACGGGGACATGTTGAGGGCAAAGCCATCGGGTGAGTTGTGGCCACAGATACACCCCCAGGACAGCAAGGGAGGGCTCCTTGGGGCGCCCGTATCATGAACAGACAGGAACGATGTACTGACCCCAAGTAGCAAAGGGCTGCCAGAGCACTCCCAGGGCGGGGGGGCTGGTCATCCGGACTGGACTGTCCCACCCCTCGTGCCCTCCACAGCCCTGCCTGGTCCAGAGGCTGCTGGGTCTGACTTTGTGCAGTCACCTTAGTGAAGGTCTCCAGCTTCACCCCTAGTCCCAAATCACCATCCCCCCCCCCCATCTTACGGATCGGGGTCCTCAACCTAACTCCACCCTCCGGCCTCTGATCACCTTCTGTCTGCAATCAGCCTCCCGTGGGGGGCAGGGCCTGGGCTGGGGGCTCCTGGCAGAGCCAGCTGGGTGTCCAAGGGGCTGCGGTGTCCTCCCAGGACACCCTCCGCAGCCGTGCCCTCCTAGAAGGGGAATGTCACAAGGCCTTGGAAACGAAGCTACCCAGGGTTTGAATCCGAGTCCCATCGTTTTCGAGTCCTGTGACTTCAGGGGCTCAGTTGCTGGGTTCTGCCCTTCGCAGTTCCCTACGATGGGCGTGTGAGCAAAGGACAGATGGGGGCACTTTGTAAGTAGGGTGAGCGGCCAGGCCGGTGTGCCCGGGTAACACGCCTGATGGCCTGGCTGAGCCCCGACTGCAGCCCTTCCTGTCCCAGTAATGTCCCTGCTCCGACAGCGAGGGACGCGGTCTGGTGGCCGCGCGTATACCTGCCGGCAGGCTGGGACCTCCAGAGGGACCTCCTCTGAAGTGAGCCAGAAACCCAGCTGGAACCCGGCCCCCTCCCCCGACGTGCCGGAAATACAGGCGCAGACACCGGAGAGATGGCACCCAGAAGGGTGCCCACCAGCAGCGCCCAGAACTCCGGAAACACCGCAGAGCGGCGGACACAGCTTACGAGAGGCTTAAAGGGCCCGCGGCCAACTCCGCGCGCGACCCGGCTGGGGCCTGATTCTGCAAAACCCGCCGTAAGAGACCCAAGAGGCCGCCACAGGGTGTCGGCTCCAGCGAAGGGACCGTCGTTCACGGCGGGGAGAGCGGTGCAGGGGTTTCCCGGACAGGCGCACACGAGCAATTTCCAGGAGGAAACGGTGTTGGGATTTGCTTCAAAGCAACGTGGGGGCGGGAGCGGTGGGGTGCCAGGGCGGGCGCGGCCTGCTGATGGGGGCTTCTCAGAGGCTGCTCGGGCCCCGTGCGTCCCTCACTGACCAGCCTGGTGACAGACTCACCTGTGCTGCTTGTGGGTGGGATCCCACGTCCCCCCCTCCCCTGATAGAAATTCCCGACGGTTCCTGGTACAGAGAAGGGGTCCAATAAAGGTTTTAGAACTTTTGCCTACATCTGGGATTTTCCATAGTAACAGCAAAACAAAAGTGGTAACACTTACGTTATCACTCAGCCCTGGCAGGGAGGGAGGGGGTTTTCCTGGGGGCCGTTCTCCCATGCCTTCCCTCCCCCAACCCCATGTAGGGTCCCACCCTGCCCACCACGCTGTGTCCAAGCCTCTCCCTGGGGTTCAGGCGTGTGTGGTTCAGTGAGGTCACTGACCAGGCAGCAGGTCCCTAGGAGAAGGGTGCGGGATGCCCCCCTCTGTCCCTCAGATGAGGCCCTGCGGCCCCAAGCCACAGCGGCTCTCCTGACCCCGGCCCAGCCTGCGCCTCACCAGACCCACAGACCTGGTCACCAGGGTCACCCCGGACCCATCTGCTCTCTGCCAATGTGGCCAGCTCCACCCCCCAGCGTTCCAACGACTCTGACCCGACCACTCCGTGCCAAAGGGAGGGGTGCCTTCGGCACCCTAAAGCAGCCTGGGGGATCCCCACCAGCCCCGCCCTACTCCTGCAATAAAAGAGAGCTTTGGGCCTAGCGAGACTTCAAAGCGGCAGAGGCCCGGGTCAAAGGTAGAGCTGAGTAATCTCAGCAGATTCTCCAGGCTGGGGGGCCTGGGGGGCGTCCTTGTGCCTCCCAAGGGCGGACCTCATAGCACCGTAAACAGAGGCGGGCAAGGCCTCAGGCCCGCGGGGGGCCGGGGCCTACAGCCCAGCAGGGACACCACTCAATCCTCCCACCACTTCCTGGGGCAGCCATGCTGTCACCCCACCCGTGTGTTGAGGGATGTGCCCAGCCCACCCAGAGGGTGGGGAGCAGTGCCATCACAACAAAGCAGCCTGATGCCAAGCACATGTCCTGAGCCCTGAGACGGGGTGGGCCGAGCCCCTCCCCCAGCACGCACCCCAGACCCTCATGCCTCTGCCAATCTGCAGCCCCCAGACCTCAGCCTCCCAGCTGAGTGGCCCTGCCCGGCCGCCCGCCTGCGCCTGCCACCTGCTGGAAGCTCCCTGCCTCACGAGGTGCCTATGAATTGCTTTGGCACAGAGGTGACCCGGCTGCAAGCGCTGACCCGGCTGCAGGCCTCTGGCCCCACCCTACAGAGGAGGGGGTGGAGTCCAGGAAGAAGTGACCACAGGGGCCAGACCTGCTGGGTCCCACCCATGCCCCACCTTCACCTGGGAAACGGGGGCCTGAGGGCATGGAGAGGGCACCCCCAACGCCAGATACACAGCACTGATTTATTCGTTAAGTCCACCTGCCCTGAATCAGGTTTTCCAACAAGGTCCCACCGGAGCTGGGAGCACGATCCAGCCACTGCAAGGGCACGCCTACCGGGGACACTGCCCCTCAGGGGGCAGCCAGCGTCCAGATCTTGGCGGGGTTGGGAAATTCCAGTAGTGGGGAGGGGCTGGGGTAGACAATCTTTATTGTGTTCAGAGTCTAAGGAATTTTGTATACAAAAATAAGTCTTCATATTACCGGTATCCCTGGGCAGTTCAAACGAATGTGTAAAAAGATCGATGTTCTGTGTCCTTTATAAAATCCTCTCCCGTTCAAACTTCTCGGTGTTGGTGCCCTGGCCCCATCCGGGTGGAGAACCTCTCGGGGAAGGGTGGTCTGGGTCTGAGGAAGCTGCTGCCAGCGGGGCAGGTTCAGGCCGGGGACCGTTTCCCCAGCGGCACTTGGTCAGGCTGGGCCGCACGGGGGGGACCGTCGGCAGAGACCAGGCTCGGTGGTGGCTTCGCCCGCCGGGACGGTGGGCCCGAGGCGCGGGCGGCCCACTTTGCTCCTAGGTGATGAGCGCGCTGGCCGCTCGGTGTCCAGGGCTTCGGCTGCTGGGAGGGGAAACGGGGACGCGCATTAGTTCGGGATCCGGCCCTGCCCCTCCCCCCCCCCCCCCAAACCCCACAAGCGAAGTCTGCAGTTTCGTTTGCTTGGTTGGTTTTGGAGCTCGAGTCCGTGGGTGCCTCGGATTCGGTCTGCGCCCGGACCGGGGCGGGGGCGGGGCGGGCGCTCCGAGCCGCAGTGAGTCAGGGCTCCGCACCCGCCGACTCATTTCTGCCACTCGGCCCGGGCGCGTGATTTGCAATGCAAAGTCACCCCGCCTCCCAGCGCCCAACTCTGCCCCGGGATCAGCGTGCGCTCGGGGCCTCACCCGCCCGAGGGCCCCCCTCCCTGCTCCCCCTTCAGCGCGGCAGCGGGAGGAAGTTTTGCAATCCCGGACAAACAAACGCCTGTCTTGCACAGGCTTGACAAAGTTTGGGGAAAATGAAGAGTGAGCGAAATCGAAGCCCTCACCCGGGCCTGGCGCTGGGCTCGGCTGCTCTCGGGGGTGCGTGCGGCGGGGCTGTCCCCTCCACCCCGCCCGGCTGCCCCTGCTGCGAACCCCGTCTTCCCCGCCGCCGGAGGTTACCTCGGGGACAGGGCGCTCAGTAGCCCCCTAACCAGCTGGAGAAGTCGAGCAGCTCGCGCTCCACGGGGCTAAGCGCGCCCTCGCAGCCGCTGTCGTCCAAGGAGTAGGCGGAGCGCGGCGAACCGGGCTCCGAGCTGCCCCCGCGGCCCGGGGACGACGAGGCGCAGGAAGGCGAGGCGGCGGCGGCGGCGGCGGCGGCGGCGGCGGGGATCCCGGGAGGCCCGCTGGATGCGGGGGGCCGCGCGGCTGTTGGTGCCAGCAGCCCCTCGGCCAGCGCGGCGCGCACGGCATCGTGCTCCGCCAGCAGGCGTTGCAACGCGCGGATGTACTCCACGGCTGAGCGCAGTGTCTCCACCTTACTCAGCTTCTTGCTGGCGCCGCCGTGCGGCACGTGCTGCCGCAGCGCCTGGAACCCCAAGTTCACCAGCTTCACGCGGTTGCGCTCGCGCTCATTGCGCCGCGCCACAGCCGCCGCGCCGCCCCCGGTCTCCGATGCGCCGGGCCGTCGCCGCCGGCTGCAGCGCAGCAGCGGTGGGGATGTGGGTCGCCGCCGAGCGGCGCAGCCGCCGGAGACACCAGGCACGGGGGGCGCGGGCCGGAGCAGTGCGCCGCTGTCCATTGCTCCCGCATCCACTCGCCGCGCGATTCCTCCGAGTCCCCGCGCGCAGCAGGTGGGGCGGCCAGAGGAACGGTGGGAGGACGATACAACCCCGAGAGGGCCCCGGGCGTTGTGCCGCGGAGCGATTCGCCAAGGTACGCGTCCCGGGTCGTCTGGGGCCCAAGGAGAGCGGGGCGCAGGGGGCCAAGAGGTGGCAGGCCGTGCGCGCCTGGGAGCGTGGGGCGCTCGTGTCCCGCGCGTGCGGTCGGACGCTCCCCAGGTCTCCCCAGCGCGGCGCAGGCGGTTCGGTTTTAAATGTATAGATAACCCTCCTCCGCGCCGCCGCCGCCTCCTTTCTCACGCCCTCCTTCCCTCGCCTCGCCCTCCTGCCACGCTTCGCCCTCCCCCTTGCGCATACAAACCTGCAAACACCACGCCGCCGCCGTGAGCGCGTCCCCCACCCCGTCCTCCCCGGGCGGAGTCTGCAGGTCCCCAGCGGGCCCCCAGCTCCCAACAGGTGCTCAGTGCGCCCCCCCCCCC